GAGCAGCCGATCCCCAAAATCACCTGGCGCGACAAAAATCCATCCCTTCCGCCGCGCGCCGAATGTCAAGAGCCCCCGGTGAAGCAACCAACTGGAAACCGGCTGTGCAAAGCGGCGTCAATCCAACTTTCCATAGACATACCACCCAAAAAGGAGATCCAAAGAAGGCCGTATCCTCCCCAAACCCGGGGAAATGGTGCTGTTGACTGTTCAACAAGTCTATGCCCTTTGCATCTCCAAACCGAACTGTGGCGTTCTCCCAAATCTCTTCGCCCAGGTGCAAGATGGGGTATGAGCAGTGCCCGAAACCTTTTTTGGCCAGTTTGGTAGGTGCTGCCAACATCTGGATTGATAACGGTTGCGAGGCCGCAAATCACCAGTAGCTACTGCTCAAAGCCCGCTTTTGGAAAGGCCCGTGAAGAGCATTGCCGTCTGTGGCGAAAAGCAGAATTCCATGCAGCGATCACCTAGCGGCACTGCTTTCAGCATGGATGAAGTCAGAAACAAAAGTGTCCCTAACCCTGATTAACCTGGGCTGCCCTCAGATCCCCCGCTACAAGTTTAACTTTTAGTGGGTTAAATGGACACTGCCACTGAACACCAAAAGGCTAAAAACTAAGGAACCGGATGGCTGGGCTCCACCAAGTAAGGATCTCCCTTCTTCAAACCGGCTGGAATGATCTCTTGTCGCCGGGCGGCTCCAAGCATGATAAAGGAGCAGAACCAGTGCGGCCCCACATAGAGTGATCTGCCGAAGCAGCGCAGCACTCGGATGCGCCCGATCTTCCCCTCAGGACCAGTACGTGTGTGTGTGTCAGTGTGGGTTTGCTTGTTTTTGACTAGACCCTTTCTAAGTTGGTTTCAAGGGACGCTAAAGGAAAGCCCTAATTTTGGGACCCCCGGTTTTGACACCTTTGGGCCATCTGCCTGTTGCAACTAAGCTGGGGTTGCTAAGTTGGGGATCCAGAAACGGACGTGATCAAGAACGTTGAAGAACTATAGCTGGATTCGAGCAGGCCATGCTCTCACAACCAATCTCGACGGAAGGCAGGCGTTCTTGCAAAAAAAAACATTCTTCTCAAAAACGACAAAAAGAGGAGACCAGGGTATCCGCATGTAGCCTTGCGCCCCTCAACAACAATAAGCCCTTGTCGCGGCGCTCTCCGCTGGTCCCACTAATTATGTTAGCCTCCCTCCAATTGGTGGTTTGGTGGTCAACTAAGGACCGTTCCCATTTACCCTCTACAAGAACCAGGGCTTCACATCCACATTCGGGAATGCAACAACTCTCGCATGACCTGGAAATCAAGAAGTTAAGGCTTTTGAAACATTGACTGGTTGAACACCAGGCTAAAAGCACGGTTTTGGACCGAAAATACATCGCTGAACGCGCGGTTAAAATGCAGTTGTTTACTCCACCAACCCTTCCAATCGGTTTTGCCCTCAGCCAAAATTTCCCGAAAACGTGGAACAAAAAAAAAGGAGAAACAAAAGGGGAGGAAAAAAAAAGCGGCGTGGTCGGTCTGGGCGGCGCTGGGCGCATCCGACAGGGTCAGCGGGATCTCTTTGGCCCGGCGGAGCAGCTCCTCCTGCGCCTGTCGAAGCCATCGAGCGGATCGGCCCGAGTGGGCCGAAAGGTACCCGCCCATTAACATGGAGCCTGGCATAAGGGTTTTGCATTAATGTTGGGGAGTGATTAATAAAGGCCCCCCCCCCTCAAACGAATTGGGGGGGGTCAATAGCCTGGCATCAGCTCAGTTGTTCAGTGACCCTGCAAAAAAAATAATCGGAACCCGTTTTTTGATAAGACCATTTTAGTGTGGGGCAGCCACCAAAAAAGGGGAAAAAGAATTGGAGCCACTGAACAACTGAGTAAGGGTTTTGCATACTACCCACGGACAGTTGAGCTTCTTTTTTTTGCAGAGGGTCAACAGCAGCTTCAAGGTGGGTACCTCTTGCTTTTGCCCTGCACATGGCTCCTTTGAAGTTTGAAGGGGGGTCTTTTTGCCACCTTTTGTCTTTGAACATGGGCGACCATCCCTGAAAAAGAAATCCTTCACTACGAGGGGCTCGATGGCTTTTCCACGAAAGCTGGCAAAAAGACCCCTGGCTCCCAAGAGCCCAAGATCGACTTCAGCAGTCGACCCCGTCGACAGTTGGAGAACAGGGAGAAGCTACAAAGGCAAAGGACAAGGCCAACCACCAGTTAACATGGAACCGGACAAAAGGTCCCTTTAAAAGGAAAGAGAAAACTACGCTGTGGGCCTGAGTGTAGGCAAATCACGTGAAATCATGACAAAAGCGCTCGGGTGCAAAGGCCCAATCCCCCAAACGTAGCCTTCTGAAGGGCAAGTGGTCCAAACCAGGACCCCCCCTGATTCCATGTGAACCAGTTTCCCGTAGCTCACGGAGTTCAAGCTCGCCTGCTGGGCAGCTCCCATGCTCAACGCTTGAAACACGTCCAATGTGTCCGTGCCTGGGCGCGCTCGGCGAGCTCAACATCTTCCTCGCCTCCCAACGCAAGGGCTCAACTGCCGGACCGTTGGACCTGCAATCTCTCTGCAAGGGGGCCGGTCCCAAACAATGGCGCGGATGCGAGTGGACTTGAGAAAGCCCGCGGCCAAAACTGCTCCCCGCATGTCCCCTTGAAACATCGAAGGAAACTCAACCGAAAACCATGGTAAGAGGTGGATGACGTCAAGTGCAAACATGTTGGAGTTTGAAGCACTCCCATCCGTAAGGGACAGCAGCAGGGGCACACCCACAAAGCAGCACGACATAGCACGACCCATGCGAGCCCCAGAATCGAGCGAAGCGGACGGCCCTTTGGCTGCAAAACACCACCGGTTTTAGGCGACTGGGGCAGGTGCGAACCGTTGGGGCGTCTACGAAGCTTGCAATCCACGCGGGTTGGGGCAAAAGGATGCCACAGGCAGGTGCTGAAAAGTGGGCATGTTTCCCCGACTACCTCAGCTCGCCCACCAGAAAGGCAACGCACATACAGGTCCAACCTTGCAATATTCTAGGGTGGATTCCCCATTCTTTTCAACCATTGTTCTTTTGCAAAAACTGGATCCGTTTTCAACCAAGGTTTCCGGAGGTTTTCTAGAAAGATTCGGATCGCTGGATTCAGAATGGAAAGTACCAGTAGAAAACTCCAGTCTCAGCGTGGCGGCCCTTTCTTCAGACGCTATCCTTTGAGGCGACCTTTGGGGAAAGTACCCCCGGAAATGTCGCAAGACAACCCCCCCAAAAAAATATTGGCTGACGTTGGGTTTGGGGAGCAACAATTTCTCAATTTTAGCAGTTAAGTGGATTTGGATTCCAACCGCTAAACCACAATAAGCAAAAATAAGCAAAATGTTTCCGAACGACAGCCATGAAAAGGGGAAGGAGTCCCACCTTCAGTCCGCCTGTGGCATGAGCATCGGACTGTTGGGACCTATGTCTCAACCTGCGTACGGCTTGGATGCGCCTGTGGATTCGCCTGGTAGCATATCAAAGGAAAAATTATCAGAGTGTACTGCATGAGCTTGCTCTCATTGGTGACTTGGATTGTGGTTTTGAGGTTCGGGCCCTCCACAAACCGTTCAGATCCAAATCCAGACAGCATCACAAAGCACCAAGGGTTGCAGCCACGGTCAAAACGCCACCTGAGAAGCTTCAGGAAACCCAAACTGACTTGCTGAGTGGATGGCCCAAAAAAAGTCCAAACCTTATATTTACCACACAAATGGTCCAAACCCAACAAGTTTAAAGTATATTTGCCACAAACATGGTCCAAACCCAACAAGTTTCAAGTATATTTGCCACACAAATGGTCCAAACCCAGCAAGTTTCAAGTTCATGCACTCAAGTGAGAACAGCCCTGCCTGCGGGATCGATGCCGAGCATGCGAGGGTCAGGTTCGGAAGGCATGCTGCCAACTTTGAGAAACGCTGGCGATTCGCAAATCAGTTTCTGCGAGTCTTTTTGCCACCTTTTCTGGAACTGGTCGACCCGCCTCGTGAAGGATTCCTTTTTGAGGGAAATGGCGCCCATTTTCTCACAAGCAGGTGCAAGAGGTCTGCTTGTGAGAAAATGGGCGACCATAACCACCTTGAAGCTGCTTGATGCAAAATCCCTAAATCCCCCCCATCCCCCCCTAACAAAAAACAAGTAGTTCAAGTCTAAAGATCAAACCCACCAGCAATCAAGCAACGAATAGAAGATAGCCACTGCCGCTGCCGCTGCTTCGGATGCAGGAAGGCATATCAGATCCGGCAATGAGCTGCTCCACGTGCGGGGCCCCAGCACATGACTGGGCTGTCCATTTTCTGATCCGCTAAAAAATCATAACTTTTAGTGGCTTCAATCTGGAATTGAAACCCAACCAGTAAACCAACCAAAAGCCTTAAACAAAAAAACAGTTGAACCGGACGATTCGCTGGGAACCGTCTAGATGACATCTTATGACACATGAAGTCCTTGGCAACGTCCTGTAAGGGTGCCAGCTGTGAACCATCCCCAAAACAATGCGCAAATGGCTAGTGTTCGAGCGAACAACTGGTCCAAACCAGAACCCAAATGTCAGTTCCCTTCTATGTTAATTTGTGGGAGGTGATATATCCTTACAAAGGATTTTGAACGGGCATTTGATAATGCCCACTTCAGATTGCAAGTCTATCCACATTGCTCAATGGCCCTTCAACAAGAACACACCCCCCCACTCAGGTCACCCAACCTGAGATATGCCCAACGTCACATGAGCTACTCCAGGATCTGATCTAGCTCCGCGTGATGGGAGTAAAACTACGTTAAATCGGGAGGCCTGAGAACAAAAACATGACTCATATTGTCAGCCTCTAATTGGTGGTTTGGATTGGTGGTTTGGGATTTGAAGCCCTGGTTCTTGTAGAAGGTACAAACCACCAATCCAAAGCACTCATTCGAGGGAGGCTGATATGTGCTTCCTTACGAGGACCAAAACCTGCGAATGTTGACAGTTCTCAGCTTCCAGCACCCTGCAGCCGGCAATCTGCATGTCCGCAACCTTGGCTCTCACTCCCGAGAAAACCAGGGGTCCTTTTTCACAGTCTGGCCCAAAAGTGAGCTTCCTTACTTCCATTTGCTTGAGACGCCTGGAAAAAAAAAGAAAAATATATCCAGTACTGAAATCGATTCCCTTTCGAAACAACAAGGGAAAATAAAACATACTAAGCGAATGGAAGCTTAGGGGTAATGGCTCAAAAGGATGAGACAACACACGCCTTGCCCATTGCTCAGGGCTTCCCCATTCTCGTCCATCCTTCGTTGAAACGAAACCAAACAGATTTTCTCGGGACTTTCGGTTGGTGGAGAGAAATATGTTGTCAACCAATGGGGAGGGTACGGCTAGGCGGTCTGAAAAGGAACATCGATTTCAACATGACCCAAGAACCGTGATACTGACCCCTGACAATTGACACCCCTTCTGGTCGGTGAGCTTGCGTGCAAATTGAAGCCATGCGGAAACAAATCCCTTTTTCGGGTGCACAGTCATGCTCGGAAGCAAAAAACTTCCTCTGAGTGGATTGGTCCAAAAAGTCCGAACTTCTTTACCACAAAAATGGTCCAAACCCAAAAAAATGAAAGTCAGAAAGTCAAGTGAGAGGTTGTTCCCTCAATTGATTGAAATTTGGGGCCGTCCCCTCATGTCGAAATTGTCAATCACTAAGCCACCAGAAGTGAGGAAGCGCAAAGCAAGGCGTTGCCTGGACCTCTCAGGAAATATCCCTTTGCGCTGGGCCCCCGCGCGTCAGGGTGCCTTGTCATGAGCTCTTTGGCCAGCAAGCAGGAAGCTGGCAGGCGCTCAAAGGGCTTTTTTTCACTTCGGTTTGGCTCAGAGCAACTGCCATGGAAAAAACCTTTGACTTTGCAGCCCCCTAAACAAAAGCGGAACTACACACTTGAAAACAAAAAAACAAAACAGTAGTGATACCTAGTGCTTCCTGCAAACTTTGGGGCTCTGCGCAAGGTTGGGTTCAAAGACCTGGAACTTCAACGTCCAAGCCTTTCGGAGGAACACACATCATGATCATCATGCACACATCGACCCGTTGCTTGATGCTTTCAGCTCCGTTATCTTGGCGTCAAGGCAAACTATTGGACGGGGAATAAAGCTCTGGTAAGCTGATATACTTCACAGTAATCCTGAAGAACATTTGCAGTCATCCAGAAAGTTATCCTTTTTTGCTTCTCGGGGGTACCGGTTTGTGACGTGGCAACGTGTGGTTCTTGCGCAACTTGTCCAGTTGCGTTGTGACCACAAGTAGTTCGCCTTCGCGGTTGTCCTACGTGAGAATAAGAATAAGTAAGCAACAATACGTAAAGGGCAGTTCAAAGTCACAAACAGGACATCTCAAAGCGTCCCACAATGCATTTACATGACAGAATGACCTATGCAATATGACCCCAGGCTGCGTGTGAATCGTTGCCAGCGGCTTGCATAGGCTGAGCCCTTCAAAAACCTAAAGTATAATATATATATATTCAAATATAAAAAAGTAAAAAAACAAACAAGAAACAAATGCAATTGAATTGTAGCGCATGGTCATAGGCTGCCAACCCGCGCCAAGGCCTTGCTGGAACTAGGCCTTGTGACCCCTTAGGCCCTGAGACGCGAACGGACAAAGCTTTGACGTTGGGTTTGGGGAACAAAAAGCAAAAACAAAAGTCAGCGACCTACTCACGAGTGGATGCCCAATAAAGTCCAAACTTTTGTTAACCACTAAAATATAGGCTGACGTTGGAAGGGGAGAAAGATTAAATAAAATTTAGCAGTTAAGTGGATTTGGATTTCAACCACTCAACCACAATAAGCAAAAATGTTAAACCAAAAAAAACAGTGTCCCAACAACAACCATGAAATTGTGCCGGTGGGTAATTTCAATGATTGACATGTATCAGACTTGTGCATTCTTTGCGGCAAAAACCAAGTTCCCATAGGATCCGCGTCCCCGTCCCCGCCCAATCGGTTCCGCAAACAAGAGCCAAATGAGGCCTTATTGTCTTTTTAGCGAATTAGTTCAAAAATCCTCACGAAAATCAAGCACATCTCTCGCAGTAAGTCTCTTCTCAAACAGCTTTGCCTGCACTTCCACTATCTCAGGACAATTCACGGGGGCTCTCAGACCAATTGAACTTCCCAACCCTGGGACATGCGCGGCGACGAATGGAAACAACCAGGGGTCGAAATCTTTCTTCTCCCAACTCGTATTGGAAGCCACAACGTTCAAGCGTCCTAAGTCCTGACAAGCTACATCCCAACTCGTCGTCATCTCGACCATCACCCAAGACAGTTGCAAATGGTTCTTTTGCCGCTTTTGGAGGTTCCCTTAAAGCGAAATGGCTCGAACACCCGGTCAGAATGAATTTTAAGCGGGATATTTGTCTCGGCTCAGTTGGGGAGCTATCTACAAGTGGTCTTTTGGACAAAATAGATGGGTGTCCCTGGCAAATGGGGCATAAACTCCGTCTAAACCAGTGGAACCCATCTATTTTTTACCAAACCAACCGATCGAAACGACACCCGTCGGATCGGCATCCTGGCGGAGCGAGCGCGCGCGCGCGTATCGAAAACCGCCTGTGGCGCTGCGGTCGGCGCTGGCTGGCGCAAGGGCAGCTAGGGCGCCGCAGAAGCGCTCAGCCAGGCTAACCTGGCGGAGGCTCACTTCTCGAGGCTCACTTTTTCGCCTGGAAATGAGCAAATATGTCCAATAGTGATAGATTCCCTTTAAACTAAGAAGGACAATAGAAATACAAAAGATCGTATTGAGAAAGATGAATACTGTTTACCCCTAAAACTGGAAGTAAGTTCAAGTGAGCCTCTAGTCTACCATTTTCTTGGCACTCGCTTTCCAGTCAAAGCTTTGTGTCTACCACTAAACTGGAACCCAGCCAGTGAGGAGGTGCGAAGCCATGCAGTTGGGGATAGGGCCGGTTTTGAAGGCGCTCTTTTTAATTAAGTGTTTGAGGCCATGGCCCAGGCGTGCGCAGGCGAAATGTCCAAGAGACGCTGTGCGTTGCGTGCATGCCTGCAGCCTGTGCCTCACGTTTTGAAGCAAACGCGTACCGTTTCTGACAATTACGCTTCAAGCAGATTCAAGAAGAACAAGCCAAAAGACAAGGCAGCAAGCCCAATCAGGACCCCTGCAAAAAAGCTACGGCCTGAGTGCAAGTTAAGTTGTGAAATGCTGGCTGCAAAGCCCTGCTGTTGCGGCAACTCATGAAAATGCCAAACTGCCTTTCGACCCATAGGCCCCTCTGTAACACCATGACCCGCGTGGCCTGCGGTAGACCAACCGCAATTCTCAGCGTACCGCTGACTCGTTGCGCAGCCCTTCCCCGAAGTATCTGCAAGATACCGATCACAGGTAGGAAGGCTGAGAGAATGGCCATGAAGGGCTCACACCAAAAAAAACGCGCAGCTGCAGCGGCAGTACAAATGGCCGTGGGTCAAAATCAAAATCCAAAACACCCCAATCCCCACTAAAATAGGTTCTAAAATGGTTGGTGCACCTACCCCTAGATGGGATCCCTTTGGTTTTGACAACCACGGCCAAATGAGTCAACGCGACGTAGCGTAGGCTGAGTCCGGGCCAAGGCTGGTCAAGCAAGCGTGTCGAAATTGCCATGAAGCAGTGCAAGGTCGACGGTGCTTGGTTGTTGTTGACCCCTCTGCAAAAAGTGAACAACTTTCTGTGGCCTTGGTTTCCCAAAAAGGTTAAAGTCTAAAGATCCAACCCAATGGCAGTCGACAGTGCTCCTCTCCGTGCAAGCCTTCAGGCCAAGATCTGTGGCTTGATCTGCCCGTCACACTGGAGACTTGTGGGGAAAAAGGGTCTCACCTGCGTGTTCCGCGATAAGTGTGAATGCATTCGAACCTGTGGTGTGCGCACAGGTTTACAGGGGTTCGAAGTTCGAAGGGCCTTGTCACGGATGGCAGTTTGCATTGCAGCAATCCACGGTCCTCTGCCTGCAAAAGAGCTCAAAAAAGCAATGCCCAGTCTGGTTTCATGCATCGCACAGGTGTCTATTGTATGAACATGTGCCATTTGCACAAAGGCTTCTCACCATAGGGGCACTTTCCTTTTGGTTTCCATTGCGCCAAGCCAAAACGGGTACAGAAATAAAAGGTGCTCACCTTTTGGGGCCTTGACTAAAAATATATATCACAACATGTCGGCTGTCCAAAAGGTCAAACAGGCTGATTCGCTTTGGGCAAGTGAGCAAAAGGAGCACCTCCCACCAATTGACATGGAACCTAACAGGGGCCCCGCTACAGGAAAAGCTACAGGACATGGACTACACCCTACCACCTTTTGGAAGACACCCCACCAACTACAACCTGCCAATGGGTTGGATGTCAATACGGTACCCTCCAAAAGGAGCCTCTCCCAATCGGCACTCCCTCGTGTCGATCGGATCGGCCCGATCGCCTCAGCGTTGAAGGCTGCGGCTGAGCGCCGGAACTCGGGACACCTGAGCGCCCGGGCGCTCTCGGGCCATGAAGTGCTGATTCTGTGGCAAGTTGATCAATTGACGGGTGGTTTTGAGTAAACCGAAACCACTTTTCTCCAGAAACAACCCTTGAGGACAGCCTTGGAATTTGGTGGTCCCTGGGGTTGAGGAAATTCATATAACCACCATTGTTTGCCATTCAGGATTGTCATCTTCCCGTTTGGGTCAAGATGGGTGTGTGTGTCGTTCTTTTGGGGCCCCCCAAAATGGATTTCGGATGTCCTTTTGGTTTACCTTTCAGACCACAAAAAAAAGGGGTACCCTCACAAAAAGACAGACCCGCATAAACCTCTCCTTTGGCCCAAGCAAAAGCACGTAAGGCTTAAGCTTAGCAACGGCCGCTTCTGGGTCGAGAATTCCGGCATGGCCATGTCCGCATGCCTGCAGAAAGCCTCCCTACCAGCTTTGCAATCACCCACTAATTCTGTCATGGCGTCCACTACCCGCAACCCTTACCCCATGAAGAGATGATACATGTAGACTACCTATGAGCCCTATCTAGCCACTAAACTTTTGATTCCCAGACGAGGTACGTAGTGGCTAGGACAAAAAGACCGCTGTGAGGTCCATGTCACGGAGTGTTGGGCGTGCATTCATTGCGTTTGCCTCGAAGTGGAACCCAGAAAATATGTGGTTTCCTTCTCGTTTCACCTTTAATTGCCAACCCAATACCCCAAACAAGTCACATCCAAGTCCGCACTGCGATAAAGTTTCACAGATCGCGTGCCAGGCTCTTTTTTCACGTTTCGCATTCCTCACGTGGACCATTCATCCAGCCGAACAAACTCTCCTGTATCTGAGGCAGGCGCTCCACAGGTGTCTGTAGCTCCTGACAGAAGCGCCATGCGCCGATATGTATTAAAACGGCTTACCCAAAACCATGAAAAGGATTAAGAAGGCGGCCGCAGTTGTTTATGGCTGGGAGCATCCCTTACTAGCCTTCATCTACCCAGGTTTTGATTGTGGCTCATGTGTCATGGCTCATAGACTCACGTTGGTTGCTGCTTGCACTGGGCTGTCCGTTTTCAGATCCCCTTTGAAAAGTTAATAACCTTTAATGTTGACCCGATATCAATCAACCCCGGTTTATTCATAGGGAGGTGTTCCACTCCAAAAGTAATGATTCCCCGCTAAACCCAGGGACACCCCCCTCTTAACTAACAGGGTTGATTCATACGGGGTCAACATGGGTCAACACTAGTGGGATAAAATCGGAAACCCAAACACTGAGCCAACAAAAATCCCTGAAAACCCCACACACAAAAAATTGGATGGCTACCAAGTAACCACTGCCGTGTAAACCTTCCCCCGGTTTTACACGACTCTCAGTTCTGCGACTCGGCCACTGAGGCACCGACCATCATGGCGTTTGACTGCGGCTGGTATCTCAGCACGTGCTCCTGAGCTCGTGGAACCGGGGGGCCCGTTGGATAGGGCAACAAACGCAAGCACAAGGCGCGAGCCCGCGACGTGCAAAGCATCGCACGCAACTTGACGCCGGGAGAAGGACGGCATCCTAGCCTCTTTGCACAGTGACCCTTGAGCATAGAATGTGTTTCTTAGAACACGGCAGGCACAGTCTATACATGGGTCACTGTGTCCTTGAGTGAAAAGAACCAAGGTTCAACGCATCAAGGCACGACAAGTCCAAATACTGAGCGTGTACAATTCCAGTTTAGCCAAATAGCCCGACTGAATGTGTTGAAATGTGCAACTCAGTCAAACTAGTCAGTGCCTTTTACAAAGACCTTCGCGCTGCAAAGCTTCACCATGAATCAGCGAGTGCTTGCATGCATTGAGCATGCTTCAACTGGTCGACACTAGCCCCAAAAGCCTTCTGCTACAACGTGCAAGTCCGGCCTCTTGCTCCTTAGTTGCTCTTCACAGTAAGGGTCGCAGCTGGAAGCCATACTGCGCCATTTGCACAAAGCATGAGAGCTGGGGACGCACTCCCTGTCTGTCTGCCAGTGTGCAAGTACCGTGTGCTTGTTGAAGTGATGTCCTAAGCTACCCTCATGAAGACAACCATGGAAGGCAACAGGAAGACCTTGGCAAGACCGCATCCTTGTTAGGACATCCCCCCAATGCTCTTCCACAACTTTCCACAAGGGTTAGGTGGCCGAGTACTGTAACGGGCGCCATTGCTCTCACTTCCCACCGACACGTCTCCCTACTTGAGGGACGCCCTGAATGCCCTGAAACTGCAATGCTTGATCCAACAAGTGGCACACATGTCTACACACAGATCTGATGCTTAAAATAGAGACTTCTGTCCGGGGGTTCCTTTCCCCCAAACGGATACCCCCAGGTTGAAGTATTTGTTGGCATGGTCGTTGTACTCTGCGGATACATATGTATATATATATATATACACATGTATGCATGCATGTATGCACGCATATATAAACATGTATATATGTATATACATATTTGTGTGGGCTGTCCTCAGGTCCCTGGCTAAAAGTCAATAACTGTTGGCGGGCTGAATGGAAACTACCGCTAAACCAACTACAAGCAACTAACAAGCTAAGGAACTGGACGATTCGCTGGGAACCATCAAGAAAAGAGGTGCGTCCCCTTTAGTTACCCTTCATAAAACGAGAAGAATGACCCAAGAGTCCAGGAACTCGGGGAGTGAGTATGTACATATGCATGTATATATATATATATGTGTGTATGTGTATTTGTTAAAACATATGTACGTGTATATAAATATGTATAGATATATAGATATATAGTAATCGCAAACAGGCCCGTGGCTACGAGGCCCCGGCAATCACCGGCTCGAGCACCACGGCCGTGCTGAAGCTCTCTTGGCCGAACCTGTCCGACAAACCGTGTGTGGTTGTTTGTTTGTCTGAGTGTGTTTGTTGGTTGTTTGTGTGTTTGTTTGCTTGTTTGGTGTTTTGATTGGTTGTTCTGTATTTGTTTGTTTGTGTTTTGCTTTTTGGCTGTTCGTTTGATTTTGTGGGTACCTGCTTCGGGGCTTCATAAACAACACCAGCTACATGAAATCCCACAAAAACTCAGCCAAATACCAACCAAAACCAGGGGTTCCTGCGGAAATTGATGTACCTGTTCGAATGGGTAAAGGGGAACCCAACAAGGCACCAACCACCTGAAGGGATCCGTAAAATTGAGAAACATCCAATTGGATTCCCAGGTAGGGGATCTACATCAGCTCGTTTTACCCGGCGCTATCACCCCGGACCCCAGGTCTTGGTTGAAATCCAGGCGGAATATGGACTGCTGGATTCCTGTATTGGTTTTACCTGGGTAAAGGTGATCAAAGCGGGATGAATGCGGGGCTAGCCGAGGGGGGCTCGGGCTTTCACGCGCTTCCAGTTGTGCAACTCTCGCTTGCAACAGCTGAGGGCGTAAGAGGCATTCACTCACTGCTCAGCTTCAAGTCAGCGACCTACTCACTTCCCGAGTGGATGCCCCCAAAAAAATCCGAACTTTTATTAACCACTATTCTTGGTTGACGTTGGAAGGGGAGCAAGCATTTCTCAATTTTAGCAGTTAAAGGGATTTGGATTTCAACCACTAAACCACCATAAGAAAAATAAGCAACAAATGTTTCCCAACAACAACCATGTCATGTCAGTAGTGAATTGCAATGATGATGTCAGTAGGGTCCAAACTCTTGATTCGCCACTAAAATAGAACCATGAAAGGGTGCCAGTGGGTAATTTCAGTGTTGACATGTATCAGACTTGTGCATTCTTTGCGGCAAAAACCAAGTTCCCATAGGATCCGCGTCCCCGTATTCCCCGTCCCCTCCCAATCGGTCCAATGCCAACAAGTATAAAGTCCCAGCACCTCAGGAAGTGAGCCGAGTGCCCGAAGATAAAAGCTCAAGCACAGAACAGCTCACATCTTGGAACCTGGACCACTGGATGCGATGATGGGGGGAAAACCATCGAATTCTCGGATTCAACTAGGAGATGAGTTTCCTTTGGGCGTGTTCTTTTTTTACAGGGAAGCCTGGGGAACCCTGGGGAACCCCCGCCTCGCTTCTCAAACACGCGTGGCTCTGGATCAAATGAGAAATGGAGATCTAACAGGGGGAATATGGGTCTGTAACCCCCTTTTGGATGGCAACAGGAAACAAAGCGGAACCACCTGTCTGAATGGGGCCTATTTTAAACCCCCGGTCCATTAAAGTGACATCTTCAAAATTAACTCTTCTGAATCTGTCATTTGAAAGGAAACAAACCCCAAACATAGTTTTGAGAAGCCCTCGCAATCTTCACTTGGCTGGACTCAGTGCTACTAGCCCCATTTCATCAAGCTCATCCTCTAAGTGATAGGTTAAAGGGAACCAAGCAGTTTCCGACTTCTCACTTGCCCACAGGACCTGCAAATAAAAGGTTAACCTTTTGGGACCTCAACAAAAAATGGGAACCCAAAAAGGGAAAACCAAAAGGTCAAAAGGTTGATTCGCTTTGAACTGAGACTTTGACCCCAAAGGATCAAACTCATGCACCAAGGAGTTGGGCCAACGGCACCGAGAAACAGGCCATGTTGGATAACCATGTCACACTCCTCCATTCAAACCGCCGGGCCCTGCCGGGGGTCCCGGGTGCAGCTCTCTGGGCCCCCCGCGTCTGCAAGGGCCCCACGCCGCCTGTGGCTTTTCAGAAGGCGCCGCGAGTGACGAGGCCGAACCAAAAACCCCGGCGCCGTGGAGGCGAAAAACACTTCACGGTGGTCGCGGCCATGCTTTCAGACTTGATTTGTTTGGTGATGTTCTTCTTTAGAAGCCTTGATGAAGGGGGCTGCCAAAAAGAAGAAGGTGTTTTACTACAGACCCGTCTTCTTGGGAAAACAAAAGTGGCCGCAGAACAAAAAGAAGAAAATGAAAAGAACAAAGCAAACACCAAATACACAGGCTGAGAGAAGCAAGCTGCGTCTATCTGTCTGTCTGTATGTTTCTTTCTCTATGTGATTATGCTGTATCCATGTCAGTCTTTGCTTATTTGTGTTATGCGTGTATTTATGTCGTTGTGTTTTGTGTTTGTTTCTATCTGCTTATTTATCTATATATTAAGTTGATTTCGATATTTAGTTCTCTAGTTCAGTGTGTATTTGTTTGTGTTGTGTCGGTTGTTTTGCAATGTTGTTCTTTTGCAACTAGTTGACTATGTTGGGACAAGTGATTTGTGTTGTTTGTGTTTATTGTTTGTTTCTTGTATGATTTGTGGTTGTTTGTCATTTTCTTCATTTGCATACTTATTTTGTTACGTCTGTCTTCCGTTAATTGATTTTTTGTTTTATTTTTTTTAGTTCTGTATTTAGGTCTTTATGCTGTTATTTGTTCTTTAACATTTGTTACCTATCTATGTCCTTGTTTGTTTGTCTGTCTGTCAGTCTGTCTCTCTGTCTCTGTGTTCAGTTGCTGTTTTTGTTTGGTCAATTGTTTGTTTGGTTGATCGCTTGTTTGTTGGTCTGTGTGTTTGTTTGTACAGTTGTTTGATTCCTTCATTCTTTGTCTGTCTGTCTGTCTGTCTGTCTGTCTGTCTATCGGTTTGTGGTCCGCGCGACGCTAGCCCAAATTCATAGCCTTCACTCTCAGCTTCACCCATGGTTTTGGAAAAAAAACACCAGGCTAATGTGATACCAACATGGGAATATGGGGGATCCATCCTACTTGGTAAAATGCGGTGCCACGCCTCTTTTCCACCTGTATTTTCGTGCAATTCCCAGATTGATATTCACCTAAGCCCCCAGGAAACACTGAGCAATCTATTTTTCAGTAGTGAAATCGATTCCCTAAGCCGGCCGGGCTTCCGGCCAAAAATATATATATATATATATATACACCTCAGCAAAGGGAAGCTCCCGAAAGGAAAAGCCGCTGAGACGCGCTAAGGCCACGGCCTTGGATCTTTGGGCGCGCCTTTGCCACCAAGGACTCCCTTGCTCCGTACGCCTACGAGGGCTACGAGGCACGGCGGAGCACGGCGTGGGGTTGGTGGGGTTGGTGGGGTTGGTGGGGTTGGTGGGGTTGGTGGGGTTGGTGGGGTTGGTGGGGTTGGTGTTGGTGGGGTTGGGGGGGGGGGGGGGGAAGGAGGGCGCCTGCAACAAGAAGGAAGGCAAGAAGGCGCCTGAAACGGGTGTCACATGTGCAAAGATTTTATAAGGAAACTCCTGGAAGTGTCTGATTTCATTCCCTGGTTGGGCATGTCTTGCCATGATATGCACCACACCCCGGTTTAAACATCCCCAGGAGAGGGGTTGGGTCAAGGCCACGGTGCCTGATCTAGTCTTCACAGGTGGGAAGTATACAGAATCCTCCAGTATAAACATGTAGACATGGTTTGCCATTTCGACTGAAATGAACCGCCTCCCTTGAAATGGGTTTCTACACTACCCGGGGGGCGGCTTAATTTATCCGACAAACAGTGGAAAAGGCAAACCATGCATGTAGACTGGGTACTGCTCGCTAGGCCGCGCCTGCCTTGCCTTCCAGCTGTTCATGTGCTTGTCAAGCTGTTCTGCCCTCCTGAGTCCCCGGCAAAAACCACCCAGCGATAAAGTTTTAACCATGGGGTTGAATGGATTTCGTCCAGACTTGGGGGGGACCCCATTTTTGGGAAGCCAAAATCCATTTCTGGAGTCCAATGGCCAAAATAGAGCCCTGGCAAATAGAAACATGGCGTAACATATGCGGTCCATCTCCTGATTTTACTTTGGACCCATACCCACCAATCTTAAGAAAAAAACTGGTGGCTTATGTTTGACCATACCCACCAAGCTTAAAAAACATAACATCTGCGATCCATATCCTGGTGGTTTAAGTTTGACCCATACCCACCTACTCCCAAGCCATACCCACAAAGCTTAAAAACTCTGCGGTCCATACCCTGGTTTCATTTGGACCCATACCCACCCAACTTTTAAGAAGAAAAAACGACCCACCTTTTGGCCCCTGCCCACCCTTCCCAGGGGACCACTCGATCCGATTTCGGTCTGCTGGCCTCCCGAAAGGGCGCCACCAGTTGGACGTTGCGCCCGGGCCCGGCTAACCCCACGGCCTCGGAAACCAAAGCAGCGGGAGTCGATTTCGGGCTTTGGATTTGGAGCCCCTCCCCCCCGAAAAAACAATAGCGGTGGTCTGTTGCTTTCCCGTTTTGTTTTTTTCTTCCGGGATTCTTGGACCCTCCGAAAAAAATAAGAAAGGATTTCGGTTTCCCACGTCGGACCACTGCAAAATCAAACTGAATGAGAAGTCCGCTCGAGCATTGGAGCATACACGCCGAGCAATAGACCTATCATGCTCGTCAGCCTGTGCAAAAAACAGACTGTGTGCAAATGGCCCCGTCAGCTCTCATAGGCCGCAGGATTTTCATGAAACTGAGCCACTTAGGTCCATTCCGATGAGCCCCCGCTACACCAACTGCACAACTCAAGGCTCCAGCCGCCAGCGCGCAAGCGGTTCCTCGCCCACCGAGTCTCCGAAAAGGAGAACCCTTTGTTGCTTTAGCCTCCTGAGAAAAATATGTCCTATACATTACATATATATATATATTATAGATTCCGATTGAAACCATGGAAAATACGACACATTCTGAAGCAAATAGAGGTGAGCTTGCTTCAAAAGAGCTCATGCGAGGCTGCAAGAGTTGTTCGAGTTCGGGACTGCCAGCTCAAGTCAAATTTTCAGACATGTCCATGGGCAGGGTGGGTTTTCTCCCAAACGAGACTATGGCTGTGGGTCACAGAAAAGTACCCACCCTGGTAAATGGAAACAATGACTAAAAACCTGTGGTCCCTGGTGGTTTAACTTTGACCCATACCCATATACTCCCAACCAAAAGCACTCCCAGGTTTCGGCGAATGATCCTGGCGGGGTTATGATGCTCCGATTGCGGCAAGATGTCGCATGGTACGAACCTGGAGTCTCTATTCTATGACCCTTTAAAAATGGGGTCATTACCCAAAATCATGGGGTCATGGACCCATTTTTGAAGGGTCATGGAGACTCCAGGAAGTTGCGACAGGAGCACGACGGAATGCACCGCGAAAGCTCGATCGCAATGGACCGTGAACAATCATGGCTGATGCCAACGAGGCTTAGAGGGCATCCAAGGGAATCCAACCATGATGGACAACTCCCAAGTGAAAAGCTGCATATGACAGGTGCCAAATTCAATAATTCCCCGAGAGGAGTGGAGGGCTTCCTGAGCAAGATGTCTTGATAAACTTGACCCTTCATACAGCCTAGGAATCATCATAGTGGTTGTCTAAACATCCGCAACAACTGATGCTCATCGGAAACCACCCCAAGCAACTAGGTGTGGTGTGGCTAGCCAAGCCCATGGTCAACAGCACTTGCATCCACCTTGCCAACGAAGCAGTTTAGCTTTGCCAGCCTACCAGCCCCCTTTCCCTACAAACAATCCTCACCCCCTGAGGAGTAGCCTTCCAAAAACGCGTTTTGGTACCGAAAGTAGTCTGTCTCGGGCACCCCAACTAGTTTAGTCTGGATTTGGATGCCTTGCGGCGCACCAAGAGTTTCCACAAGCTGGATGGCCCCTCACGCCGTAAGGGGTCACACACGACAAATGGGTGAATAGGGCTGGCCAACCCTCGATGAGGCGACCTTTTTGTTGCGGATTGGTGGATTTTACTGGTAAATGGGTGGAACCCATCTGTTTTTAACCAAACCTAAAACAAACACCTATGCCTCTATGAGAAATCAACCCAGTGACGTGGGTAAATCAAGCCGGCACCACCGGTGGATCGTGCAATTTAGAGCGTCGGTAGCTGAAACGAGGCTATCCCCTTCAGTCGGCTACATTGCTGGGCCTTTCCTCCTGCCTTGACAGCACTCAGACATGTTCAGTTCAAAGTTTCAAAAGCTGCTTATGAAAGGCAAGCTCTGTACACAAAGTTCAGCTCCGGGACCCAATTCCGCCTCTTTAGTCGTCCCCATAAAAGGCAAAATGGCTCAGAACAATGGCTCACAGTAAATGGAGATCTCCCTGACCCAATTCCATTTTTTAAGAAGGGGGGGATGTTTATACACTCTCAGATGCACAGTGGCCATCTGGAAAAAAGGGCATCCAATTTTTGGTCGGTTGACTTTCAAGGGGAACCCTTCAAAAAATATATATGAGCAAGTTGAAGCAGCCGCTGTGCAACTGGGCACTTGTTACATGTCTCTAGGGGTACCTTCCATTTCCATTATTTCCAGGGATCCTTCTTTGCTAAACCCAGGGAAAACGGATCCGGTGTTGAAAAGAACGATGGTTGAAAAGAATGGCCAAGGAAATTCAAACCCTAGAAGGTCACCTCTCCCTTTGTTTCGCATTTCCAAAACAAACTCGGAGTCTGTTTCTGCATCCCCTCATTCCATTTATCTAATCGGGAACATGGCTCACCAGAAATGGAGATTTGCAGGGGTACCCTTACTCAAGGGGCTGAAAATTCTTCCAACCCAAAACAAAGCGAGCTCAGAGGCCTGGCCAGCGCCGCAAGTAGCCCTGCAGCTCCCAGAAGGAGCTCATCTCAGTACGGATCCGGGGCCCCCGAGCCGACAGCTGCGCGTGCCGACATATGTATATATATATATGTATATTTATATATGTATATGTATGCATGTGGTTATTTACAGGGATCCTTACATTCCTGAACGTTGCAACTTGTAAATGGTGGTGTCCCCTTATTTTGGTGGAAAAAACAACATGGTTCAAACGGGCAAAATGTATTTTTTAAGGAGCCCTGATTTATTTAAAGACCAAATAAACACAATACAACAAACACGTTTGCCATGTCGCCAACCCTTTGCATGAAATCATGAGGTGGGACAGAAGCTCCAGTTTACCGTGCAAGACCTAAGCCATCCAGTTTGTTGCAGGGGACCTAGGGACGCGTAGTGATACCATCAAGCAAGAAACGGCTTTTCGAAGAGCAGGGACCCTTGCTGTCCAGTCGGCGGTCGGCGTCCCTTACGTCTAAAACGGGGTTCTCGATGTGATGATCGCAAAGTGGGTGTAACCCCTTTCTAAGATTCGATTCCCATTTCTCTTCACTCGTTCTCTCAATCACCCATTGTCTGCTTGGGGATTGGAGCAAAAAACACATTTCTTAGAGAACGCTAGCCCCTCTTCGACGCGCCGTCCGACTCCACATCCAAATCCGAATCGTCAAATAGCCACGGCCGTGCCTGTGGATAAGTCTTCGAAGGCAATTGCGGCCGTTTGCCTGAAGTCTCCATGACCCTTTAAACATGGGGTCATTACCCAAAATAATGGGGGCATGGACCCATTTTTGAAGGGTCATGGAGACTCCAGGTGATGTATATAGAGATGCATTGTTTTTGTGTTGCTTGAACTTTCTCCAATTGCTTGTTGGGCCTCGGGCGCAAGAGCGTCTCCGGTCTCAGGTGACCCACGAGTCTCCAGCCCGATGTGGAGCCCAACCACCTCTCCCTTGCCCAAGGGACCCGTCGCGGGGCCCCAACATGAATTCAGTTGACCGACTTGGAGCCACAGAAACGGCGCTGCAGCCTTGGAAGGGGCCACTCCCCTAATTGTGACTAGGGGCCAGGAGGCCACTGGCCACTGACCATTCAGGACTTTGGGCTATGACAGTAAGGCTCTCATTGCCTGACTGAGTCGCTTGTTGCCATTGGCTAAGCCGCCGCACCGTGGTGACCCGCAAACGCAACTGAACCAAGCGCTCATTGCCGGCGTCCTGCCGGCGCTCACAGTGCGGCCGCGCGGATGGGATGGGAGATTGTGGCTGTCGTTTACATTTCAATCAGTTGGCGTCAGCCAAACCGGCGATTAGAATCCAACGTTGCAACAACGCATGCGTGCTCAAAAGCAACATGCATTCGCAAAGGCCAAAGGAGGCAACCCAGGGACATCCAGAGGCAATGGAGACGAACACACAACCATCGGCAAGGACACTGGCGAATTGCAACCGCTTAACCAAAGCAGCGTCTGGAATTAGTTAGCGTCTCAAACGTGTGAACACCGAAGTGACATGCAACCATGTGACAAGCACCCTAAACTCTTCCGGATCTGTTTGAAGGGATACCGGCAGCGCGAGTGGTGAACTCTGATAGGAGCCGCATGCCAACAGCGTGATCAGTTGACAACCGATAGATGGCTAGCGCCACCTTTACTCCATCATCTCCATGCAAAATCATTCAACTTTTTGTCTGAAAAAACGGGGGCACCCGCCAGAAGGCCCCCAATTGTTTGTGCTTTCCAAGTTTCTTCCACAGCCTGATAGGTGCTGGAAACCTCGTGCAAAGATGTCTTTTAGTGCGTGTCTTTTGCACATGTCCAGCTCTCGCCATGTGGGTGTGGGTCACAAATTGGGTAACCCCACAATGGCTTGCCCTGGCAAGTGGAAACATGCACCAAAACCTGCGGTCCAATTCCTGGCTTAATTTTGACCCATACCCATGTTTTCGGGGAAATGGCCTTTCCGGGCCACTCAGAGCTTAGGGACGGCTCTTTGGACATCCGCCTCCCGATCTGAACGGGCATTTGGCCGTGACGAATTCACCAGCGGTCGTAAACACTGAAATTTCATATTTCACAAATGCGGGAGTGCTGCCAAACGGGAGAAAAAGTCTTAGTTTCAGGCTCAAACGAAAAAAGAAAAAAAAAAAAGGCCTTAGTTTCAGGCCCAAAGGTTGAACAGCATCCCAGATGCAAGTGAGGTCAGTTGCGAGCCACGGGTCCCAAGGCCAAAAACAAATGCACATGCTCCCCAAAAGCTAGATCTAATCCACCCGAGGAAATGCAATTTAAAACGCATCACCCATTTGGGGACATGGGAATGAGTCAAAATAGGGGCCCGTCAAATCCTTTCAGGCGCCCAACACAAACACCAACACAAAAAACAAACAAAACACAAACACGCGCACACACATGGGTGTCTCAAAACCAGGCAACCCTCCCCCCAAAAAGAAAAGAAGAAGAAAGAAAACAACACAAGCAAACAAAGCAAAAACAGAGAGCGGTCTCCTTTTTTGGTTTGCCCGGTTAATGTTAACCCCGGATTAATAAACCCCTGGTTGATTAACAAGGGGGTTTCCCCTTTTAGTGGGGATTCATCACTTTTGGAGGGAACACCCCCCTTTTTTATGGGACGTGTTCTACTTAGATCCTGGGTCAACATGAGTTTCCCTTCCAACGGGGGTACCCCCGACCCCAGGAAGTTCGCGTCCTTGACCTTCAGCGCCGGCTCCGCGTTCAGCGCCGCGGCCAGCAGTCCCGGCTCCAGGTGATCGCCGCAGCGCGCCTGCGGCCGAGCGGCCGACGGACGGGTGACGAGCCGCGAGGCCAAGGCGCTGCAACTGTTCAGTTCCTGCGTGGGTTGGCCAACAAAAAGCAACGCTCTTGGTTTACCACAATTGAATGGTCTAAGGAACTCAGAATTTCTCTGCAATTCTTTCCAGGCAACCCTTAAAGGGGATCGTTTGGAAATCCAATGGGTTCCATGAGTGCCGTGGAAAGGGGCGCTTCCGCGTCCCGGGCTCTCTGTCCTTGCAGGGGCACCACCGGAAGACCCCTTTAAAGGGGCCAATGTGGTACAACACAAAAAGCTCATTCCAACCTGCCCCGTCCGCCGTACAAACTGTCTTCAGCCGGCTCCAACTCGGAAACACCCCCCAATTCAGAACAGAAAATATCCTTTGCAAGCGCAAAGGACCATGGCATGGGGAAGGGTCCAGTACGCTCCCCCTTCCATGAATCTATTTGGGAACCTCAAAAAACAAACCCAAAGTGCCACTCAAGTGGATTGGCCACAAGAACTCCAAACTTTCTATTTATCATTAAACTGGGCTGTCCAAACTGATCCCCTGCTTAAAAGTTTGACTTTTAGTGGCGGCAAAATGCAACCCCCCGCTAAACCAACAAAACAAAAAAACGAAGAAGCTAAGGAACCGGATAGCTGGGAACCAAGTCCCCTCCCCTCCCCTCCCCTCCCCTCCTCCCCTTCCCCTCCCCTCCCCCCCTCCCCCGAAAAAGTGAAGTCCGAGTACGATTTGCTTCACCAGTTCTAGGCATCTCCACCTGTAGGAGCCGCCTTGAATTCAGCTGGTCTAAGCTCGACCCCCCCCCCACAAGGAGAACTGGGATGCTGATCATATGTTCACTAAGTTGTTCAGTGACCCTGGAAAAAAGGGAACCCTTTTTGGGGCTGGGACCATTCTAGTGGGCAGCCACCAAAAAAAGGGGAAAAAAAATTGGAGCCACTGAACAACTGAGTTCACAAAGCCGGCCACTGGGGTTTTGATAAAACATCAAATGTGGTGCTGAGAGGCTTCAAAATGCTCCAAGACAGGGTGAATATCTCATGTGGGGCAGGAAGCGAGACCTTTATGATAAAGCCCTTTTGGGCCACTGGGGAACAAGGCCCTGCAACGCCAGCATGCTCTACCTGTTTCCCGCACACGCGGATAGCCCACAGCGTATGGGCCAACCCTCACCGTGAAACTGGCATTCGCATGCAGGATGCGATTGGAAAGCAAAAACTGAGCCTTCTGCCTGACTGGATGCCGTGCAACAAAAATGGCAGCACCTTCTCGTAAACTCACCGTCCAACCAAACGAGCATCCCTTCCGCTGGCAATGCTGAGGAAAACAATCGTGATGCGCTGCGGCGTGCTGGCGAAACCGATTTGCAGGCGAAACCGCTAGCACACGGCCGGCAGCGGGGAAAGGGTGAAAGCACCGGAGTGCCTCAAGCAGCCAGATCTCTCCTTTCAGCGGCCATGACAGTAAGGGGGAGGTGGGAGGTGATTGATGGCTGCCCATGTTTCTGGGAAAGTAACTCCAACACTGGACATGTTTCGTGCACATCAGCATTTAGCAAGGCGAATTGCCTTGGAGCTCTGGTTGAGATCCCCCTGTCTTGTTCCCCAGGGGTCCCCCATTTTATTGAAATAAAACGTGGGGGGGGGGGGGGGCGAACCATTTTTCCAACATAAAATCTCGGTTGCCAAATCTGCTCCCCTGCTAAAAGTTTAACTTTTAGTGGTTTAATGGAAAACCCATGAGTTGGCAAAAAGTTAAAGTCCTAACATCCAAGCAACATGCACCAAAGAAATGGGGGCGCTAACCCTCACAAAAGTTACCGAGTAGGGGACCCGCGAGAAGGAAAGGTTAGCCCCTCGGCGAAAATAAAATCGGTGTCGGGAAAGAGGTCGCAAACTGAAATGGCCACGGGGCCAACCCCAAAGGCTAGCCCCTTCGGCCGGGCCTAAAATCTTCAGGGACTAACCTTGCCAAAGCCTTACTCTCAGATTCACAGTACTTAATTTTAGCATTGCCAATTCTATACTTTGCATTGCCAAGACTTCCTCTCAGACTCCCAGTGCCTAATTTAGCATTGCCAGTTCTAGATTGAATATGTCCGAGGCTTGTTCTCAGATTCCCAGTACTTAATTTAGTAACGCGAATTCTAAACAGAGTACTGCCCAACCTTACTCTATGATTCTCGGTACTTAGTTTAGTATTGCCACTGTTAGTATAGCCAAGACTTGCTCTCAGATTCCCACTACTTTAGAAAATATAGCCAAGACTTATAATTTCGTATTGCGAATTTGAAAATTGAGTATTGCCAAGCCCCCAAACAAGTTTGACATTAAAGCGAACCACGAAACAGTAAGATTCAACAGAATCAGGGCTTCATGTGTGACTGTTTGACCTCTATTTTTTGTATTCGGATATTTTCTTACGCTTCATGGGTTGGGGACCACAAACCAATCCTAATGCTTGCCCAGATTTGTTTGCCCGGATGGTTGCCCGATTTGTTTTGCTGGCCCAGGTTTTGTGCCTGAAAACGCGACCCCGATTACAAAAGCCAGTCCCACATTTGTGGCAATGGCAATAAGTCATGGGGGCTGGGGGGGAGGGAGGGGGAGGGGGCCCAAATAAGCCCTTATTAAGCCCATATTTAGGGCTTATTTGGGCTCCCTCCCCCCCCTCCCACCCCAGCCCCCATGAATAAGGGAATCTGGGACCCGTTTCGGAGGGTGACAAATTGTACATGTACCTTGTCTCAGCGACCTTAGAGACTTAGATTCCCACAAGTTCCGTGCAATAGATTCCGTATTGCCACTTGGTCTTAGATTCCTACTAAACTCACAGTATAGCCAATCCTAACTGATCTTTTAGATCCCGATGCCGAGATATACAAGATTTAGTACTGCCAATACTTGATCTCAAATTCCGAAAACCAAATTCCAGCGCTGCCAATGCTAAACTTAGTATTGACAACACTGAATAGGTTCACAATGTTAAATTCAGTACTGCCATTGCTAACCTTCTCATTACCAATGCAGAATCTTGCCAATACTCAATCTCAAATTCCCATGTTCGCCTAGGTTGCCAAGAAAATTTGGGTTTATTATAACGAGGCACACGCCAAAAAACAAAACATGACTCACTTGACCAAAACTAAAATGAATCCCCTGTTCGAAAATAAAATGGTAGGACCTAGCCCCCACACCCAGAAGTCTGTACCAAACTTTTTTGGGCTTCGGCTAGCCTCAAAGGCTACCTACCTCAAGGGCAAATAAACAGGGGTCGACACAAAGTAAAATGAGGGTGCTTACCTACTCAGCCGAAACCGGCCACTGAAAATATTCAAGTTTTCAGGGTGGTAACCCCATTAAAGTATAAACACGGCAAGGGGATTTGAGCTAACGAACACGAAAACCACAAACATCACATGGTTAGCTAAACATCACCCCCACCAAGGGATACTCACCTTTGGGCCAAGGTGTTCAAAACCACCGAACAGGGAAATCACTCGGGACCCCTGTATCATAGACCCCCTAGGTGGACGAATTGGATGATGCCACTGGCTCTTGCCCGCATCTCCGCGGGAGCTTGCACTGTCGAATCGACAGGAGCTCACCGTAGCCTTGGCCAAAATCTCCTAGTCTAGAAAACGGGCTGGATGCGCCTTTTCTGGATTTCACCTGTTCTTCCCCGTGTTGGTGTTGTTTAGTACTCTTGTGACATCCTTCAAGAAGGTGGATCCACAAAAGCCACATCCAAAAGGTGTTCTAGACCGAGAGCGCGCAAACCTCTCGCGATCCGCGGCTGCTCCATCGCGCAAAACCGGGCTTGGCGAACAAAAAGCGAACGAGGCATGCTATGGGATGTCCGGATCGACAGTCTCTCCATATGGGGGACAGCCGCAAGATGGGGTGCGCAATGGTTTTCTTAACCCCACATCACAAATAGCACCACAAAAACGTGGTTTATCAAAAACACCTCTTTAACAAAAAGCATGTAAAAGCAACGTTGAACGTGACAACCATGCACATGTTCGTATGAAGCGCACTGTGCTGAACTTGATCCCACAACATCATGGACTCTCAGCATGCTGGAGCGTTTGTTTGCTCTCAGCAGCAGGCCCCGTTCTTGCCGCTGCGACGTCCAAAAAGGGCCAAAGCTTCGCAAGTGGTGACCCCCCTCGCTCTGCGAAAAAGGAAGCTCCCCCATTGCCACACACTGAACATGGACCAACTCCGAAAATTCGTCCGGGTGCCCCATCCTGAACAGGTCATGGACCCTAGGGTTTGCATTACCTTGCGATCCTATGAGATCGATGAGCAAGAAAGGCCACAGCCAACGCCGTCAACTTGAAGTGATTACTGGGCCCGCTCTGCTTGATTGCTCCTGACTTCACTGACAGCAAGCGGGCCCTACCTATTCCTATCGCTCACTGGGCAAAAACCCTCCGAACGGGCGGCGCCAGTCGAGCAAGACCAAAGCACCTGGGGGACAAAAAATATCGTCCCCGAGAACCTAGTTTTCCCTTCTTTTTGGGGGTCCGTCATACACAAAGCAAGGAGTGAAAAGAATGGGGGAAATCACTCGAAATATTTTTGCCGTCAATGGCCCCCCTGCCATTTGGAAACGATAACATATTTCAACTCGTCTTCCGGGCATGCCAAGGAAGCTCAGTTGTTCAGTGACCCTGGAAAAAAGGGAACCCTTTTTGGGAAGACCGTTTTAGTGGGACAGCCACCAAAAAAAAAGAGGAAAAATAATTGGAGCCACTGAACAACTGAGGAAGAAATACCATGCCGCTTTGATGCCGCTGGACCAAAGCGAAAACTGACCACAGTGGTCACTCAACAACTGAGCACCTCAAATCCTGGTGAACCGGAACATTTGTTTCGGAGCGTTTTTGCATTACACCCTGGGAATCCCACCCTTGGGAAATGACCCAGAAAGGTTCAAAGTAACACGGGTTTATCCGGAAATGTGCCTAAATGGG